TGGGTTCACTTACTTCTCCTTCAAATATTACTGACCTGGTGCCAGACTCGAACTTTAGGTTCCGGGGTCCTCCTTCCCAGATTGGGTCTGTATTCTAGAAACAATTGAGGGAGAATTGGGAGACCCACAGGAGCAATCAAGAGGTTCACACTGCTAAGAGTAATTCTCAACACAGGGCACCGGGAGTCAGTGGTTCGACATTCCAGTCTCCTTGTTCTCTTGTAGAATCTGCATTATGTTCCACACAATCCCCAGGGGGTTTGATTCCCAGTTGCTCACTGTTCTACTCCAGCTTGTTACAGCACAAGTCTTTTTTTTTTTTTTTTGACTATTCTCTTTTGCCTCATTCTCTTTCCCTCTTTCCTCATTTTTGGCTCCTGGGATCATCTCCAAAATAAATTTTCTCTGTCCAAATCCTTGACTCAGTTCGGTTTGGCAGGGGAAGCACTCCAACTAAATAGAGTTTTAGAATGCTCATTGCAGCATGATTGGGAAGAGTAAAAAATTAGCAAAACTGAGGATGTTTTGTTTTATTGTTTCATATTATTTTAGTAGAACAAATCAAGGATTTATCTTTACAGCTAGAAGAACTGATAGTGTGCATCAATTTGATACTCTCCAAATTTGAAAAAAATAGCAAAATTGAGGCTGCTTCATTTTACTGTGTTTCATAATTTTTAGCAAAACATATCAAAGATTTATTTTTACATCTAGGAAAACTGATAGTTTGTATCAGTTTTATACTCTCTGAATTGGGGAAATTAAATGTCGAATGAAATTTATAGTTTTTGTGGAGTCAATACTGGGAGGATCATTATTTGGCATAAGTATAAAACATATAGTAAAAAGACTACCAAGTCATGGGATTAAATGTATGCTTGGAATTAAATACAAACATTAAGTTCTGAATGAGTGTTCATGGTTAATATCAATTCCCAGAGAATTCCAATAAAGAAGTAGAAATGAAATGTTGCATTTTCTTTGGTAAATTAACAATTCAATTTTATCATATTCTGCATTAGTCTGCTCAAGGCTTTCATAATAAACACCACATACTTGGTGACTTAAACACAGAAATTTATTTTCCTAGAGCTTTAGGGACTGCTAGTCCAAGATTAAATTGCCAGTAGGGTTGATAACTCCTGAAGGTTCACCTCTGTGACTGGGAGCCTCCTCCCTGCATGCTCTCATGATCTTCTTTCTGTGCATTCCTGGAGAGAGAGAAAAAGCAAGGAAGAGAACACACAAATACACTCTATTTTATAAGGACATTAATTCTACTGGATCAGGCCCCAATTTCATGACCTCATTAAAACTTAACTATTCCCTTAGAGGTCTCCTTTCCTCCAAGCCCCACTGGAGCTAAGGTCTTCAACATACACATCTAGAGGAGGGGTTACAGACATTTAGAGCATAATAAATATATTCATATTCTATACTCAAGATTGTTGTTAGAGTATGTTAGGAAGAAATTGCCACCACTGATTATTAAGAGGCTTTGGAAACTATATGCAAATATATTATTTTTCATCTTAATCCTTCTAAGACTTTAACACAAACTATAATCATGTGTAGAATATAATGTAACCACCCAGTAAAAGAGATATTACTATGTGTTTCTTGGAAAAGTGCCAAATCACACTCTACTTCCAGTCACAGGAAATGGTGCATTATATTTATTTAAATATTTGGAGAGTCTTCCTAATGTGGACCCATGCTGTTTATTCTTGTAATGTCCACACATTAGACATAAATCTGCCATCTGGAAAATGCAGATCATGTGTGCTCTCTGATTCTAAGTGTCACATAATTCATCTTCATGGCAATGTGGACCCAGAACAATCAAGTACTCAAACTGAACACTGCAATATGGATATTTAATGTCAATTAATAGATACTTCCTCTTTGATTTCCTCATTAAAAAGTTACCACAACATAGAAATCCTTTCTCATTTTATGCCATATCAAACATATATTGCCATTTCAAAATTAGTTTGCTCCGTTGTTTTGGTAAAGGAAGAGGGAGAGAGAAAATGCTTTATTACTGCTGCTATTGTTACATAGCTGATAGGGGATACAGTTTGGGAAAAAAATGTGATAAAGACAATTCAGTAATTCAAGCAGATTAAATAATTCAACAAAACAAGCTGCTCATGAGATATCATCATTATTGATACTTGTTCATTACCTTCAGGGTTTAATTGCTGCTGTATTCAGTGTAGTTATTCTAGGTGTTGTTGTTATATCATTACCTCTAACTTTGTGAGTTATTTCCTGTTCCACCAAGACATGAAGAATGAAAATTACATGTCTGAGCTTCCTTGTCAACAAGGCTCAGTTAAATTCAACCAATGAGAGGCAATTTCATGAGGTTGTTTAAAGGCAGGAATCATCGTCTTTGTGATAGCTGGGCATAGGTTCTGGCTGAATGCACATATGGGTTTGTCCCTTCCGAGAATCCTCCTCTTAGGTATAGTATGCAATTTAAACCATTGTTAATGGTTTCCTGATGTGGCTTCACTTGAGAATTTTTCGAAAGCAGCCTTTTGAGCTTTACTCTCCCACCTCCCAACAGTCATATTGTCATCTAGTTCTGGGTACTAAACCTTTTAGGTATGAAATATTTCATTGCCATCAGTTTTAATAGATGAACTTTAACCTATTCAATTGTGGACACTGGGCATTCCTTGACACTTTTTCTAATTATTTTTGCTTTATTAATGGCTTATAGGACTTCATGAGAAAAACCTTAGAACTTTTTAACATAGGTTCTATTAAATTAGCTATATTACCTCTATCATACTCAAAAAATGTTTACAGTTTCAAAACTCTGTTAATGATGTTCATTTTTGTAATGTTAAAATTATGAAAATATATAAGTTGAATTAACATAATTTCAATACATTTACTTTAATATTATATATTACATTATAAAAGGCATGAAGGAAATTTGTTAAAAATTTTAAAATAATTAAAAATGAGATAAAGAAATATTAAAAAAAAACTATAGCAATGAAATTTAATAGAGTTTAATAGAATAAAACCTATTTGGGAATACAGAAGCTCCCAAAACCATCAGAAGTTCAGAGACATAGGTAGGTAGTCACTGTAACACAAGGAAGCAGTACTTATTAAGAGAAAGTAGAAATAAAATGCAGAAAGAGTTTGCTTGATTAAGTCCTCCAAGTTGCTTTATTTGGTCTGATCAGTTGGCAATCTAAGATGGGCTAAAGTTTGTCTCTGATGATTGGCTAAGCCCTTGGTATTTATTACAAAATACTCTCCTGAATTAGGCTTTTTGATTTGTTTAGTTAGAGTGCAGGTAACTATGTAGACATTCCAGGAAATAAGGCAGGCTCAGGCTAAGTTTAAATTAATGCAACAATTATTATCCTAATGTTAATCTTAGCAACAGAAATATTAAGTTGGTTGGGTCATGGAGGAATCTTTGAGTCTTCTAAATAAAATGGTAAATCTGAAGTCACACTGGAGGAACAACAGAGGTTACTGTTCTCATAAAAAATATTTGCCATGCAGTGAACAGGTGTGTGGTTAAAGTTATCTCTAAGATGAGCAAACATTTAATAAATGACAATAGAGAGCCCAACTTTCTTTCTCAAACAGCCCAGGCTATCAGTATTATATGGTACTTTTAAATATGTCATTGAGGAAAAATATATATTTATTTTAAGATTTCACTTAAATGAAACTTAAGTGGAATTTTTCACATTGCTGATTTCAGCATAATTATGGCAAAGATTAATCAGAGACTCTAAAGTCTGAAGGACATAGCCTAACTATTTTTCCAGGACTTACTCTCTAGCTGCAAGTCCTAGAAAACTCCCAAGGGCAAGTTTCACATTTCTGGCCTCATTTAAAAACTGAAATCATTTTGGAGGAAATTCTGAAGAGTTTCGGAGAAGCATCCAAAATTTCAATTGCTTCTCTGAAACCTTGGCATCCTGCCTGTTAATAATCTCCATGCTCTTTGCTTAGAATTTACGCTCAGAATCAACTGACAGGAAACTGCCCATCACCCTCCACCCTCCCAGCAAGACTGTGCCAAAACACTCAACAGAAACCACAATGACAAAAATAGATCCAATTGACGACTGTGCAGTGACTAAGAAACGGATATACTAATTTAAACTATCTTTATTATTTTTTTTTACTTGTTTGGATGGTAGTGATAAACAGAAAGAGAAAGGTTTGTAATAGCATCTGGTCAAACAGCTTGCACACTCAGTCAGCCCTATGCAATTTAAAATATTTGAGATCTTATAACATCCCTGGAAAGCATGCCTTTTAATCCAAACACCACAGACATACAGTGGAGCCTCTAACTATAGTCATACTGCTGGGCAGAGCTTGAAGCAACAGCAACAATAATAAAAGAAAATTCTCTTTGTACAGCTGAATGGCTGCACTAGAATTTTCAGTGTTCAGATGTAATTAGAAAACAGCTGTGAAGGAAAATCAATTGTTCCTGGTAGTCAATGGCTAATTTTCCACAATCAAAATAAAGAATGCAATATGACATGTTTGTAATGAGCAAGTAATTGTTTCTCTTTTGTTTATTGTTTTAACATTTTTCCCCTTTATTTGTAGGAGCTGTCATTTGCTTGCTGCAGAACAACTTCTTCCAGTCTTTGCTTCTCCCATCCATATTTAAATACTAGCAACTGCCAAGGAGGCTCTGTAGTCCAGCTTAGTTTATTCAAGATTGCCTTATGATGGTGATTTGTGGACTAGCAAGGAAATGTTGTCCTTGCTTCTATGAATTCAGAATAAAGCTTCCATAAATGGAATGATTATTAAACAATAGCATTTATTCATGGGATTTAACTTTGATTCATTCTGCAAAGGTCTCATGTGTCAAAAAGATGCAGTTCCAGGAATTCATTGACCTGCTGCTCCAAGTGCATCTGCATCGCAAAACAAAACAAAACTGAAACCACCACATGGCTCTTTTTCTTTTTTTTTTTTTTTAATATCCTTCTTCTATCATTAGCATAGACAGGAAGGTATTGGGGCAGCAGATGGATAGCAAAGTAAACCTCTATGGTGCACATTTGGAATTCAGATGGATGGGAAATGAACTTAAATGCTAGAATAGGCCAATGAGAGTAAAATTGTTTTATCATGCAAAAGAGTCTGGTTGAGAAACACCAGGAGGAATAACACGTTTATGCTGCTTTCAGTTGATAAAAAGAAAAAAAAAAAGTAAAACAAAATGCTTATATTACTTAGTGAAATTAAACTCTATATTATTTGCTTTATACACTTATATTTCTCTGGATCATTCTTGGAAAGCTAATATAATGGCAGTTGAAGAAGGAAAAGAATGGTACAAAAGATAGATTCTCAGTTGCTGTGTGATACTAGGACAATTTCTTAGCTTTCCTGCATTTTGTTAAGAGTAAATGATAACAAGTGAATATTTGAATTATTCACAATAAGTGAATAATTATTACCTGAAGTACACTATTGCACAAATTAATAATTACAAGAGTTTTAATTTCTGGCAGAAAAGCATTCTTCAATCTTTCAAAAATGCATGATTAGCCACCAGTAGAAAGTAAACCTACAAAGTTTCAACATCTTCATTTATACCTGTGATCAGATCAACAACTGTCTGACAATATAGCTGAGGTTTTTATAACATTGTGTCTTCAGACTGCCTGTTCCAGAATATATATAATTTATCTATTTCTGTGCCCTAAAAATGATACTATAGGCTGAAATAAAAAGATATAAGAAGAGAATTCTATATTTTTTTGAAGTTGATAGAATTACTGACTGAACCAAAATTTAAATTAAACTTTGAACGCTACTGGTCTAGTTATTATTTTAATAATGAATATTATAAAATTTAAATTTTAATACACTTTGTAAGTGGCTAAGGTGCCATACAGATTTTATTAAGAAATTTTAGAAAGTATTAGCCTCTGTGATTATATATTTTTCAACCTTTTGTTCTTCATCATTTTAGCTGAAATATCAGTAACTTAGTATTCACACTTTCCCCTCAAATAACTCATACTTGCACAGGTTTTTACCTCCGCCTACTCTCAGCATGGAGTATCCCCTTTCCACTTTCCATGTCTTTTTAAGCACTGTAGTCAAGGTCAAGAGATGTTTGAGTTTTAATTAGTTTTGTGTATTTTTTGAAGCTCAAATATCATATCTATAATTTTAAACCTTTGGCAGCAATGAAACCTAGGGGAACTGATTGGAAGATCAACTAAGAGGGAATAACACCATGACAGTGGCAAGAGGAAAAGCAGCTAAAGTTAATTTAATGGTATATTAAAACATGCATTTTAGGACACAACAACCGATAGAAGAGAAGGATGAAGACAGAAAATGACGGAGTTTTGTAAATTGTCCAGTTTTGCAGGTAATTTATAATCTCTCTAACATGCCTCCTATGTCAGCACAAGCCTTCACCCACAACTTTGATCATATATCTGGCAAAACTCCTTTTGCCTTGGTTACAAACATAAATAAGTAAGTTTCCTGTGTCAGCTCTATAGCTTTCAGGAATTTGAAAATTGTGGGTCTAACATCAAGAAAGAAGGCTTTTAGAATTGGGGTACTTGTTGGCAATTGGAAAGGGAGTTACAGAAGAAGCTCCTACTGCTGAGATTCTAAGATCTTCACTTTTCCTTGGTCTTCTCAAAGGTGGATTTTTTAAGCTCTTTCTTTGCTTTTATGATCAATCAACCAAAATAATTTTTCCAGAAGCTCATGATTACCCAAACTTCCTTTTATTTTTGAGGGTTGGTTTCAGGTGTGTCATGTTCAAATAGGTTAAAATAATAAATAAAGTAATACAGAAGGTAGTATCTGATAGTGGCTTGAAGCAATTGATTCTGAGTTAACAGTGGTTTTGGAATTATTCAGTAGGTTGAGATGGAACAAGCAGGAGAAATACAATACCATCTACATTGTTATGTAATAGCCATGTTTGACGAGGGTGAAATATACAATCAAATTTTTATTTTGGATCCCCTAAAACTATATTCCCATTAATCAAATCTCTGTGAGTCAGGTAGGTGCTTCCATAGATCAATTTATAGGATGTAAGAAATTGGGAAAAGCACGTTGTTCTTTTCTCATGAAGAGAAACAGTTGCTTTGGGTATACTGGAATATTTAACATAAAGAATAGCATACCCTGAATTTGAAATTCTTGCATCAAATTATCAAATGAAGCTGAAGTTGGACTTAAAGCAGGGTAAAAAAATACTACTGACTCCTTCTTATAATAGGAGCAATGGGAATAAATTCCAAATTCAGAGACTAACCATATTTTGCTGAAATATTTTAGAGATTGGCCTAGAATGTGTCTGAACTAGGTTTGTTATACGAAATTCAGCATATTGATTAAAATACACTGTGAGCCAAATACACTGGGTGAGTCCTGGAATATGAAGTTCGGAGATATTCCCCTTCTCCAATAATGTGTGAGTGTGTGTGTGTGTGGGGGGGGGCGGGTACGCGCTTGCTTGCTTGTGTATGTGTATATGATTGTGCTTGTGTTCTAGGGATAAAACCCAGGGTTGCTACACCTCCAGCTTCTCTCCTCCAATAACCAGTAAGCTCTGTTCTGCTGAAGAAATTTCTATTTTGTCTTCTTTGCTAATGAAGATATGAATCTATGATGGAGGAGATAAAAATTCTCTGAAATCTCTTTGCCAGGGCCATTTCATAATAAATAAGATACATAACTGACTTGGGGAAAGAGTTTCATACATAAGTAATAGTAAGAATTTGGAAATAAATGTCAACAAAAATTCTCAGGAATTTTGCCTGGTGAGGATGAATATAACTTTCAAACAAATTTAAGGTTTTTTTGTTTTTCTTTGTGTTTGTGTGTGTGTGTGTGTGTGTGTATGTGTGTGTTGTTCTTGTTGTTGTTTGTTTCACTTTATTTTGTTCATTTTCCCATATATTCACTCAGTAGAAAAGTATCTATTTGTTTGGGAAACAATGTGGCTAAAACAAATTGGAATAAAAATTGATCTATACTATGTTACATATTTCAACATCTAAAACTTTCCCTATAATAAAAAGAAAAGTTATGGATGACCAGGGGAAAGAAGGATATTGAACCAAATCTGTCATTTGCATACCCTACTTGGTTTATATCCAATTTCTGCTTTTTTGCCCATATGTTTTGCCTTCTCTGTTACATGAGTTGAAATCTTTCCAACATTACCTAAGGCCAGTTCTCTGAATTGGATGTAGTTCCTGAAATTATCTTTCCTCATTCCGTCATCACTGTGTTCTTCTGTTTACTGCATCATTCTGTTATCTATAAATATTTCCTATTAAAAATAAAAATAAACCTAAACATGTATCCCCTTCCTTCCAAGTTCAACCCAGATTCTTAGTTTGCAATAAAATGATTTATAGAATTATTTTTCTCACTTGATCTACTTCCTCTCCTTCAATTCTGTCTCTGCATCGCCTCCAATTCAGATTTTATTCCTACCGCTCAACAGGAAAAGCTCTTCCTAAAATTGCCAGTGATTACCTAATTTGAAACTCCATTTTCAGTTTTCATGCTAATATCACAAAAGATAAACTTAAACACATGTTTGCTCCTCCCTTCTAGAAACAAGGCCTTCACAGGGCTTCACGATATCTATCACTCTATCTTGGTTCATCATTTCTTCTGAACCTTCTTTGCCCCATCTCGTTTTTCTTTTTTACTTTATGTAGTAGTAGTCTACATTTAGAAATGTGCCAAGATCTTTGGCCATTTTTTTTCTATATGTACTTATTCTCTAACTGATTTTATTCAATCTTATGACTTTAAGACCATGCAAAGAGCAATGACTTTCAATATGATGTATTATTAAACTACATCTCTCCTGAAACTCATCCTCTTATAGCCAAATCAATACTTAATATTTACTTGTATGTATAATATTTTTATTAATGTTATATTCATAATCAAACTTCATATTCCTTTTTAAAATTATTTTCCAAATTTTCTTATTGCAATATAGTATTTCAAACTATTGATGTGCCACATTTGTATATCAGTTTCATTAATGTATACATTTGGCTTTTGCCAGGTTGAGATTCTTACAAATTGGGCTACCATGGACATTTTTCCACAATTTTGGTAAATATAGATATTTTTTCCCTAGGTATATATGTTGAAGTATAATTTTTGGGTATGCACAAGATCAACTATAGTGGATAAAGCCCCAAAAGATTTTTGAAGTGGGACACAGATTTATATATTTATTAGCAGTGGATGAGTTTCTTGTCTGAGGCCTGTGCAGACTGACGCTCTGTAGTTTGTCTTTAACTTTTTCTATTTTGGATAATTTTTAGTTCACAGTTGTCATTTAATGTACATT